CCATGTTAACAAATTGAGAAAGAAGAAACATCTGACCATCTGAGCAGATGCAGAAAACATGTTGAAACCACTTCCACTTATAACTAAGAAAAAAAAAAAGAAACACTCAGCAAACTGGGAATAGAAAGGAACTTTAATCTGATACATAGATTATCTACCAAAACCCTATAGTAAACATTACACCTAATTGTCAAGTGTGGACAGCTCCTCCATGAAATCTGGAAAAGGTTGGATGCCCACTATCCTTTCTTTAATTCATTTTTGTACTGAGGTTTTATTCAGGATAGTAGGCAAGGAAAAAAAAAAAAGGAACAAAAGGATTGGAAAAGAATAAACAAAAAACTGTTACTTGTACCTACTCCAGTTGTATATGGTGTTTCCAAAAGAATCTATACTTTTTTTTGAATTACTAAGAGAACTTAGTAAGATTTCTAGACACAAAATCATATGCAAAATGCAAATATTTTTTTCCAAAATGTAACCAACAGAGCATTAACTTAAAAGAAATGTATATATTTATATACACACACACATACCATTTATAATACCATTCAAAATGTCAAATAATTATGAATATATCTAACACAAGATGTGTAAAACCACCAAGAGAAAATTAGGAAACTATGTCACAAGAAGTTAAAGATATTCTAAATAATGAAGAGAGATACCATGTTCATGGAAGACTAAATATTATACCTTCCACCCTCTAGGGGAAAGTAGAGAGTTCAGCTAGCAGTTCAGAGCAATCTGGGCTTATATTCCATCACCTATTGTTTCTAAAATGTGTGACTGGGAATTCCACCAACTCCTCTGAACCTCAGCTTCCTCACCTGTAAAACAGGAATAGCCATTCTGTCTAGTTGTTAGGAGTCAGTGGATGTGAAAGCACTTTACTATGGAGTGTTGTATAAATACAGGGATTCTTATGACTAGCATTACTGCCCCTTGGTCTGAGGATGGGGAAAAGTTCTTTTCCCTAGATTAGGCCAGCTGTGTCCTTGCTTCTGCTCATCAATTTTTCATCAAGGGCATTGCTGAGTGCTTACTCTGTGCATAAGATTTCCTCATTCAGTCCTCATAGCAGCCAAAAGGCTGGTGCTATATTAGCCCCATTTTACAGATGAGAAAACGGGAGGCTAAATCAAGCAACCTGTCATTCATAAATTCATTCATTCACTTATTCAACATTCATGAGTTCCTTCTACGTGCTAGGAGCTGTGCATACCCTGTGAATAAGACAGACATGTTCCTTGCTCTATTAGGACTGACAGTCTAGTTGGAAAGATAGCCAAAAATCATACCACAACTAGTAAGCAAGCAGAACCAAGATTCAGACTCAGGTCTGTTAGGTACTGCAGTCCATTCCTTTAACCACTCCCTGAAGGTGCCCTCCTCAAATTCCTCTGCTCTCTTGTGATGTAATAATTTCTAATGTCTGTTCTGCTGGCAATGGCAAGTTTCAATGCAAAGCTGCTGCACAAATTGAGAGCTGTCAGCTTCAATCCTGGCCCATGCGATCCTCATGCATTATCACTGGAGAATTACAGCAGGGAAGATGAATGCATAAAAGAGGAGAGGCATCCTGCTCCCCCACCCACCCACAGCATCAGTGGCATTGTTCCCAACAAGTGTGTGCCTGAGTCCTCTGCCACCATTAATGGCAGAAGTGAGTCACTTATAAATAAGATATGGGAGCTTTATTATAATTACATCCCAAGATTCAGAAATGTTCAGCATCACTGTGAAAGGGAGGGCAGCAGGTGACTGGGGCTTGAATGATCCTTTGCCAGGTACATCTTTCAGATAAAACGTCTTGGATCAGGAGCAATTACAGCTAATGCCTAGCCTGAATGCTAATGAGAATTACTTACAATTGCATGTAATTCTTTGTCATTTATACTACCCACTTTTTTCTTCTTTTCTATCCTGGCATTAATCATGAGAAATAGACACTGGGAACATGATTAATGGCCATTTTTCAGATGAGGAAACTGATGCTCCAGGTCACTCAGCTCAAAGGGCCAGGGCCAGGGTCCTAACCCTGAACTTTTATCACTCCACCATTCCATCTTTAAGGGAAAAATATTTCAGAACTCTGGATGTTATCCACTCACCTAGAAGGTGTACAACATATATTAAGTTAAGTCTAGGACAATCTGAAAGACAGCTGGGATGTTTTGTTCTGTTTGCCTTTGCCTCGGTGAGGATAGGGCAGCTATGGGTAGATGTTATGAAATGAACTTCAAACTGACCCCTTGCCATTCTACAACCACTAAGAGGCCCACATTTGTCCCTTGGGGACCTGAGAAATGACCATGAAGATAGAACCTGAGCTTAAAGATAGGGAAGAGCCTTTTTCCTGCCCACACAGGTGAGAAAACTGTCCCAAATCCATGCCCCTCAGAACCAAGCCATAGCACAATGTTCAAGCTACAGAGTGAAGGAGTGAGGTTAGCCATAAATAAGTCTGCACTGAGACTTTGGGTTTTGGGCTATTTAAAGCTGGAGACTGCAATAAGACTTTGGGACACACTTGTATATCTAGCCCTAGAGCTACTCCCACTTTACAGATGAGAAAGCAAGAGGCTTGCACAGGTGGGGCAGCTTGCCAGGTGGCAGAGCCAGGATACAAAGCTGGGCCTGCTTGACCTTAATAATGACAATAATGACAGCTAATATTTAAATAGCACTTTTATATATTACAATTTAGGTCTATGCACATGAACACAATTCTCTCATCAACCCAGTAAGGAAGGTTCTATGGATACTATTATTCTAAAAATGGGGAAACTGAGGGACAGAGAGTATAGCAACTTGCCCACTTGCCCAAGACCACAGAGCTCATGACAGTGCTGGGATTTGAGTCAGCTCCAGAATCCACATTTATGATCCTTTTGCTATGCCTCCTCTTTGTTTTGGAAAGGCCACATCATTTCCACGAGGCACAGCTTGATTGTAAAAAGGAAGGTGCGAACATGGAGTTCTGAGAGTCCAAGGGCAGGAGGTTCCGAGACAAATTCTTCTTCCCTTAGACACCTTGCTGAGGGCCAGGAGGGACCAATCCAGCACAGGACTGCCCACACTCCTCTGGGCTGCAGGCTAGGTAGGTAGGCACTTCCAGTTTCCACCTAGCTCTTAAGTCATGGACAAGGAGGGCCGGGCTATCTTCTGCCTAGGCAAAATTCTTGTAAATGGTACCAGCCCTTCCCTCCCTCCCCACAGACTCTTCCTCCACCAGGGGAAATGCCTCTTGAGATAGCCAGGCAGCCTCAGGCTAACTTGGCTTGCATGTGAGGGTCCAGCAAGCCCTGAGTCATATCAGGATATTTAATGGGGGTTGTCAGGGAGTCCTGTGGTGATAATCCACTCAACAGCAGGCCTCTTGAAGGTCATCTATCAGAAAGAGTGGTGCAGGGGAATTGGGGACCCTGTTGCCTGGCATCTATTTTCCACCTTTGCTGCTGCCAGCCACAAGCAGGAGGAACCTAAGGTCCCATCCACAACCTGAATTTCACTGATAATCTAGGAGTTAGGGTAAAACCTCTGCTCAAATCCCAACTCTGCCATGGACCATGCAGACAATCTCAGGCAAGTTACTTAACCTCTCTGAACACCTCAATAGACTCTGTTCAACAAAGCTCATAATAATAATGCCTGCTTTGCAAGGCTGCTGTGAGAACTAACTAGGGTAATGCATAATGATACTCTGATCTGTCCACCCTCTCTCCACCTCTCATTCTCTACTGGTTTTTGGCTGATCCAAGAAAAAATAGAAGATTGAAGAACTCAGCCCCCCGGACCCGGACCCTTCTGACCCGCCCATGACTCCCAACTCTCCTCTCCTTCCTGTTCTGGCAACACACTCCAAATATGCTCCCATCACAGAATGAATTCCCAAGCACCCTCCTGCCAGGGGACCTTGCTCACACAATACTCCCAGGGCTGTCCCCTCATACCGGTCTGAGGTGGGAGCCCCCTGCTGGATGACAGGAACCTTGCTTGGAGCATCACCGCAATGCCAGATACCGGGAAAAGCGGTGTCTGGGAGACATCAAGGTATTCCGGGTGGTGTCTCCTGGGGTCGTGTGGGGTGTGGGTAGTAATCACCCAGAAAGAAAAAAGTGACTTCCATGAGGAACAGCCGCGCTCCAGCTCCCGCTCCTGACTTACTTGGTTCCTTCCAGAAAAATCTAAAGCAACTTCCAGAATTTGGTCTCGTTCTTGTTCTGAAAGAGCGGTCCCGAGCGGTACCTGGCAGAAACCGCCACCGTTTTTTCAGAGTCCTCTGCGCGGTACAATGGGGAGTTGGTGGTCCGCGCTGCCTAGGCTTGTGGCACAGCTGCAAGAGACCAGGAGGTGGTCTGCCCATTCCCACATCCGACCCCTGGTGACGCTGGCTTTGGTTAAGTGGTTTGGGTCCAGACGACTGAGGCTCAAAACCCTGGCTCTATCCTTGACTCTGTGGTACTCCTAGGCACAACTTTCCCTCTCTGAACCTGTTTCTTCTTCCGTAAAATGACTACAATACTATAATAATATCCATTTCATGAAGTTACAGGGGAATCGAAAGAGATAACGGATGTCCAGCGCCCAGCACAGACAACGCAACCAGCACACGCGCTGTTAACTACGGCTAGTATCAAACTGAGAGCCTGAGGCAGTGGGGAAACTGGAGGCTCACCCTCTCCGCAGCAGAGCCCAGAGGCAGATGCTCGGGGTGCACACCCTGCACACCCGGGTGAAGCCACAGGTGTCTGCGCGTCCGGGTGCTGGGGCCAGAACTCGGTATCAGGAAAGGTGCCGCGGAGTGAGCCGGGCAAAGGGACCCTACTCAGGTCGCCCGTGTCCCTAGGGCCTTAAGCGCGCCCACCCCACGCCAACTGGCTCCGGGGGTCTTTGCCGCTCCACGGGATGCTCAGACCTAAGCCCGGACAGCGCACGGCCTCGCCCCGCCCCAGCGGCCCCGTTCCGGCCCCTGCCTGCGCTCCGCTGCGACTCACCGGCGCCGGCTCCCGGGAAAGTTTGGTGGTGCGGCGGCCACTGCGGCCAGGCTGCTCCGTGCTCTGCAGCGGCGGCGGGGTTGGCGGGGGTGGCGCAGAGGGAGCCGACTGGGGAGGCGGGGCGCCGGAGGAGGAGCCGCGCGGACAGGGGCCAGCCCGGGAGGGAGGGAGGAAGGCGGAGACCCGGGCCCGCTGGCCTGCAGCGCCCCCACCACGCGCTCCGCGTTCCTAGGGCCTCTCCCACGCCGGGAGGGGGCTCGAAGGGGGGAGCCTGGGGCTCGGACACCTTCTCCCACCTCCCGCCCAGCACCCCAGGCTCGGTCTCTGCGCGGTGGGGTGGCTCCATGGGTTTGAAGAGAGAGGGGCAAGAAGGGTCAGAACCTTGGGGAGAACTGCTTCCCGCTCCCCCACCTCCGCACACACACCTGAGAACAGACAGAAATAGATACGTTAAAGGAGCGGATAGAAACAGAGAAGAGATGTTTAGAAAAGTCAGCCACAGACCGACTTGATACACGAAGACATATAGTTATACCACCTCGCCTTACTCCTGCTAGAGCGCCAAAATAGGAAAAGACAAAGCCCAGGCAGAGGCAGAACTGACATATAGGGACCCTACCCTCGAGGTTTTATGGGGAACTAGAGAGAGACCCCACCACCACAACCACCCCCGACCAATGTGTAGAACTCCACACCCCTCATCTGTTTCGCTCTGCCACATGAGCTCAGGTTTCAAAATACGGTGTGTTTCAACTGGCATCCTGTGCCAGCCTGAGCAGAAAGTTTGGTCGTGGTGGGTTCCAAGGGCGGGGGTGGAGGGTGTGGTTCTTCTGCGGGTCCTGGGAAAGCCCTGGTTCCCAATTCTGGGAGCTTCAGAATACTTACTGGCTGCCTTCAATTTCCAGAGGTGAGAAGAAGGCACCGTTTTTTTTTTCTTAGCTCTAGGAGAAGTCCACTTGAACGTCTAAATAGTTGTCTTCAGATCTTATCTCAGCACTTCAGAAGCGTGACCCAAGTTCTGAGGGAGAGGAAGGCTGTCTGAGAAGGAGAGGGGTGATTGGGTGTGGGCTGGAGCATCACCAAGGTGTGTATCTGGGCAGAGGGCAATTCCATGCATTGGTCATGGGATCCTGTAGAGCTAGGTTGAGGCCCAACTTCACAAGCTGTGTATGGTACATGAGCGATCCATCTTTTTGGCCTCAGGGTTCATATCTGTAAAATGAGGGTTAATAAAAACAGCTGTCATTGTGCCACGCACATTCTTCTGAATGCTACATGTGCTTATTTAATTCTAAGAACACCTTGAATAAGTAGGAACTATTATTATCCCTATTTTACAGAGGAAAAAATGAGTGCAAAGCAGTTAAGTAACTTGCTCAAGGTCACACAGCTGGTATACAGGAAAACTGGCAATCCACTCTATGCAGCCTGGCTACAAGGTCCCAGGTCATAATTACTGTGCTATAATCTTCATTTCAACAGGCTGCTAGAAAGTTCCAAAAGTTCATGTATGTAAAGGATTTAGGAAGTGCTCTATAATGGCAGCTCATAGACCAGTGAGCCTGTCTGCAAGGATGGGATTAAAGAGCTGATTGTGATGCCCAGAGATAGCAGACTTTGCATTGAGGGTAGTCGGCAGGTCATTTTACTATCCTGCGTACCAGCTCTGACCTTTATAACAGAGACAATGGTTTCCCCCATATGTTCCTTTGACCAGCCTTCTGTACATTAGCATAACTCATAACCAGGTCTCACTCCAAATCCACAGTAAGCCCCGTCCATTCCTTGGTGATTCTCCAGGGCCTCCACATTTTACACTTATCAGATTAATGCACCTTTTGGAACTGAGTTAGCCTTGGGGTAGAAACTGTAAGAAACTCTAAGGGAAATGCATTTCCACTTGATTCTGCTAGGAGGCTGACAGGAATGAGAAGGAAAAAGCCTTGGAAATGGCTGGGTCCACTTCCATCCCCCCTCTCTCTCCTTCTGCAATCAGCCTGCTTACTTACTAAAAATGTACAGGTAGCAGAAGAAAAACAATAGCTCACCCTTATGTCAAACTTACTGTGTGTCAGGCTCTGTTCTAAGAATGTTACATAATCTAATACCCTCACAACAATGCTATGAGGTAAGTACTATTATCATCCTATTTTTCAGATGAGAAAACTGAGGCACAGATTGGTAAAGAGAGTTGTTCAGATTCTACAGCCATTCTAAGATCAGACAGGAAGCAGCTCAACCAGGACTAGAACCTGGATCATTTCTGGCTCCACAAGCCTGCTCCTACTTCTTTGTTTGTGGGAAAAAAAATAGAAAGGGGGACAACTTGAGCTCTTGAATAGAGATTAAAAATGCAGATTAAAAAGAGATAGATTAAAAATACTTACTCTGCTATTACCTCTGTGCTTACTCTGCTTCTCTGAGCCTCAATTTCTTCATCTGTAAAATGAAAATAATGATTATGTCATATCCAAGATTTTAGTGATGATTCTTTTATTGCAGATAACATAAACCCAATATAGACAGCTTCAGCCAAAAAGCATTCTGAACTGAAAAATTTAGGAGTTGTGGATTCAGATAGTTCATTCCAGAAACTCAAAAGAAGTTGCCATGAATCTGTCTCCCTCTGTCTCTTCCCTCTGTTTTATTTTGTGTCAGTTTTACTAGCAGGCTGGGTCTTTCCACAGGTAGGCAGAAATGGCCCACTTAGCAACCTCAAGGCAAACAGATCACTTGCTTCCCCATGCTTCCAGCCAGTCACGGGATTGACTCCCATTGGCCTGCCTTGGGTCACATGCACAGCCCAGAAACCACCCCAGTTATTCTCACTGGCCAAACCTGAGTCACATGCCTTTGGCTAGAGTCAGGGAATGGGGTCAGCTCCTCCAAAGTCACAGAGACTAGGAGTGGGTAAGGGACACTCTAAAAGAAAATCAGGGTGCTATTAGAATAAGGGGCATTGGTACTGGACAGACACAAATGCCTGCTTCCTTATGGAGCTCTTAGGATTGCATATGCTCCCATGTGTAAAGTGCTTGGCTCTGGTGGGTGCTCAGGAACTGAGACCCCTCCCCTCTTCCCTATCCCTTGGGCAACAGAATCATGGCTTACCAAATCCAGGCAAATTCCTTCTTTGCTTATCTGGTGAAACTAAGACTGGCCAGAGAGGGAAAGGGACTTGTACCTACGGCGACCCTGCTAACCAGCCACAGAACCCAACAGATCGGTCAGAGAATCCATGTCCCCCAGCTGGAAACAAGTCCTCAGTTAATGTCTCAGCTGAGAAATTTTACATTTCCCACTAACCAAGGGAGTTTTCTTTGCATTTTGCACAGGTAAGACTGGAAATCACAAAGCCCTTACGACTCAGAGGAAATGAATGCCATTAGACTGTGCAACAAGCTATAGACTGGTAGAGCTGGGAAGATTACCCAGTCCAGCCCCCCACCCATCACATTATGAACTCAGCCATTTCCTCTAGGGACTTTGCACTTTGGGTGCTGAGAGACCCAAGTGGTCATTTTTCATATAGCTGCCCAAAGTAGACAAGAAAGCCCTTCCCTTGTTTTATTTCCTGCTCAGTTTGTGAGAGCAAATGTGCATCCTTCAGAGCCAAAGTGGGCCAAATAGCAAGTGTATTGTTTAGAGTTACCAAAAGTCACCCTTTCAACTTGGCTGTGACTCAGTTCCAAAGTTTCTGACCTTGAGAGTTAGTTTGACTTCTCCACTCTAAATTTAGTTAGACTGGCATACTGTGAAGCTTACCTAAGTAAAGGATGGCAGGTATTAAGCTGGAATGACAAGACCTACTCCCTTCCTCCACCCTTAAGTAAAGCTCTAGACTTGGTGTGCAAAGTGCTGGAGGAAGCGTAAATTAATACAACCTTCTTGGAGGCAAATTTGGAATCAGATGTTGAGAACTTTAGAAATGTTCATTCTATTATTCCATAGTTACAGAGTTTTTCCTGAGGAAATAATCGTGGATATCACTATGATATGCATAAAGATGTTCACTGCAGGATCACATATAATAATAAAAGACTGAAAGTAATCCAAACATCTAACTATAGGAGACTGGCTAAATAAATTATGGTGCATCAAGAGAATGGATTATTATATAGCTAAGATCATATTAGAAAATATGGAATTGTGCAAAAACTGGTTATATTATAAATGTTAAAAGAGCAATAAAAAAGAAGTTATAAAAGTTATACATTAACTCACTTTGTTAAATATATACATATTTATGTACAAAAAAGGCTAAAAGTAGTTTTATCAGGGATACATAGGAAAGAGGAAATTTTATAGGTTGTTTTGTTTTCACTTATCTGTATTTTCTCGCACTTCTTTAGTAAATCTGTGTTACTTTGGTAATTAGGAAAAATGCCCAATAATTGTTACAAACAGATTTGTGTTTGGTTTTCTTTTAGAAAACCACTTTCATTTATTAAAAGGGGCCAACCATCAGTGATAGTAAACTGACCCTTCTCTCCCTGGCGAGGATATGTGGAGAGCACGGGGAGCAAGGCTGGGAGCAGCAGAACAGCGCAGTGCAAGCATGTGCTGGGAGGCTGCCCCCATTTGCCTTAAGGCCCCGGGTAAGTCCCTCAGCATCTCTGGGCCTCAGCTGGCACATTACTAAAACAAAGTGCTTGGTTACCTCAGCTCTGGAGTTCCTTCCAAGGCCAAAATGCTATATGTATGGAAAAGGTCTGTTAGCTACAATGAATGTTCAAATATGCTCCAGAGAACATGTAATGGCCCATATAATAGTCCCTTCAGCCCTGTATGACCGCTAACAGCCCTGCTTACTTACTCTGTTTTTTTAGCATCTGCTTTCTGCCCAGTTTTTCAGTCTCTCCATCTAGCTACTGAAGAATTGGCAAATTCATGGGAAAAAACCTAGAATGCAGGTCTCAACTCCACATGTTTCTCTTCACTCTGGGATCTTGATCCTTCAAGTCCTGGCTTCCTGGATAGCTGTTTGGTGCTTTCTAGCATATTTTTATTTTCTTTCTAATAATTTTATCCATGTTTTCTAGTTGTTTATTGAGAGGATTGCTCTCTACAGGCTAGATTGTCATAGGCAGAAGTCCTTTCATATGATATTAAGTGAAAATGGCTAGATATAAAATGTATGTACAGTGGGATTCTATTCATATGTAGAACATGTGTATGTGTTTATATAGAACAAATAGAGAAGGAGTAAAAACTACACACACAACATATTTCCAGCTAGGTTTTCATTTTTTTTTATGTTTAGCTATGTTTTTCAAAATTTTATACAATGGACTCTTAGAATGTCCAAACTTGAACTGTCTTTTGAGGTCATTTATGCCCATTTTTAAAATGAGGAATCCGAAGTCAAGAACATTTAAATTAATCTCAATTGAACAATTATTGGAGGCTTGCTGTGGGTAGAGAACCATGCTACAAACCCCAGGGCATCCAAAGAAAGTGACATCTAGTCACTTATTCTTCCACCTCTAGTATCTCCAACACGTGCTAGACTTTGGGATATGAGGATGAAGATGACAAGAATCTGTTGTCTAGATATTCTAACTGGGGAGAAAAATATCCGAATATACCATCCCACGTGATAAATGCTAAAGTAATGATGTGGCAGAGACTGTGGTTTCCCTCTTAATAACCATTCTCCAAATATCCAACTAAAAGATTGTATTTCCCAGCCACCCTTGCAGCAGGATGTTGTCCTGTAGCTAAATTTTGGCCAATGAGGTATAATGGAAAATGCTGTGGGGATTTCTGGGAAGTTCTTTTAAAGGGAACAAGCAAACTCACATTTCTTTTTTTCTCCTGCTTGGAATGTAGATGCAATGGCTGAGCCCTAGTAGCCATTTTGACCTATAATGTTGCCTTGGGAAGGGAGTCCCATACTGGGATGATGATGCAGATGAAATAGCCTCTGTCGCTGATATATCAGTCCTGGGTTGTCTATCTCTATACTTCTTTAACATGAAAAAGAAACTTCTGTCTTGCTTATGCCACTGTTATTTTTGGATTTTCTCTTACATACAGATAAACCCAATTCTAACTTATTCAAATCCTAAAAAAAAAATGCTATGGGAACAAAGGAGCAAAGAAAAAGAGGAATGAATATTTCTACTTTTGAGCATCAAGGAATTTGCAGGGAGCATGGGCACAGGGCTAGAAATGACATGGGAATGGGCAGGAGATGAGTACATGGGTGCTGGAATCAAGCAGCATAGATTCAAATCCCATAACATAATCTTTAGCAAGTCATTTCATTGCTTTATGTCTCAGTTTCCCCATTTGTAAAATGAGAATAACAGTATTAACCTCACTGGGTTGTTTTGAGGATTACATGAGTTAGCTACTATATGAAAAATGCTTAGAGCGATGCCTGGCGTATGCTGTTCAGTAAATGTTAACTGTTATATGCTTATCTGTAAAATGGATGATCATAGTCCAACCTCATAAGGTCACTGATGTGTATAACACAGCTAAGGGCTTTACACTGTGCTCAAATAGGTGCTTAACTATGTAGCTCTATCTCTCTCCCTTCACTTGAAGAGTTTACAATCAATATTTAACAAATCTTCACTAAGCCCCTACTCTGTGCTAGGCCCTGGGACAAATTAGAACTTATTCCTGACCTCTGGATGCTCATAGTCTCAAGTCACAATCAAGAAGAGGAAAGGAAAAGAAAGAGATAAGTACAATAAAGGGCAAAAAGTATAGTAGTGGTCCAATTTCAGTCTATTAAGTCAGGTGAGCAAGAAAAGTAACTTTATTTTTTGTTAAGTGAGCCCAGTCTCTGGTATAATATCCCATTTTGGATAGGCAACCTTAATGTGAGCCAGGTTGAGTTTTTCCTATTTCCCTGGGGGGTGGTATCTCAGTTCTAGGGGGCTTGTGGGAGCAGCTGGGGAACATTACTTAGCCTTGCTGGCATCTGTTGAGACATCTTTGTTCCTATCTGAGAACAGGATACTCACTCACACAGGTCATTGCTAAGTTGTTCCTTCTTCCTAAATCTCATTTCCTCTCTCAGCTGCTCATAGGGCCCCCCTAACTGCACAGGAACCATTGCTCAGCTCCCATGGCACCTGGGGGGGCATAGCGAACTCAGACTGGTGAGGCTCTTCTGCTCAGATATACACAGCCATTTTTCCTCTAGAGAGCCTGTCTAGGAGAAGTGCACAGGCCCTTCCTACACTCAATTACTTTTAACTTATTCAGGGATTCTGGGGTCTCTTCAAGCTCAGGGCTATGCCCAAAAAGGGACAGATTCAAGTATCTCTCTTATCAGGAGCTTGTGCCATCCCTTTCTCTCTTTGCTGCTGCTCCAGCTCTCTCACCCTTGTCTGTTCTGCCTTTTAAAAGAAAGATGCAAGCAATTCAACCAGCAAAACTGAGTTTATGTGAGAATAGCAGAAGAACTGCAATTGAAAACA